CTCCCCCGCCCCCGCCCCAGCCGCGGTGCGATCCAGAAAAAACCAAACTCTGCTAATGCAAGTCACGCTCAATGGAGCGCCTCCGTGGAGCTTTTAGTTCTCCATGACAGAACCCTGCAGGCTTTTAAAATTCTGAGATACAGATTTCTAACTTTTTTTTAAAGTTCACCCAAAGGAACCTTCTGTAAAATAATAATAATAAATAGATAAGAATAACAACAACTTCTATTATTCCTGTGTAAGAAGTAGAATGCACCACATTTACCAGGAAGTAAATTTCTTTAAAATGGATGGCGCTAACCTGCAGGTGAACAAAAGGGGTTTAGACGGGAAAGGGGAAAATGTGTATTGTTTAGCCTTCCTTTCCTCCAGTCCTATAAAGCAGAAATGATTTAACCAGATAGGATTTTTTCCTAACCGAATGTCGGTCTGGACAGTCTTTCGCCCAAAGTCTGTTTTGTTTGCAAAGGATGAAAATGGGCCCGGGGCGTTCAGTACACGCGCGGCAGGGCTAAAATCGGGCGATCCTGGGGGCGGGGGAGGGAGGCGTTACTCCGGAGTAATTCCTCAGAGTTTCAGAGGGACAAAGACCCCTGAGGAAATGTGCAGCCTGCGACCTGCCCCCCTCTGCCTTTCTTCTTGGCGGGGGGGGGGGCGAGAATATTTCATTTGAGTCTGGGGAGACCTCAGAGAAAAGAGCAGAGGCGTGTTACTCGGGAGTAAGCCTAGTCTTAAACTCTTCCCCTGTTTAAAAAGAGGGGCTGAAGAATATAAAGGGGGAGGGACACATTCAGCTGCCTGTGCCCGAAAATAAATTAGTAGGAAAAATGATATAGAATCGTAGCATTTAATAGACATTCACCAGGCTCACCCATCATCGCCCTACTTTGAGGGAACACCCACTGGCAGGTGCATGTCTGGGAGTGCATATTATATTATTATTATTATTATTATTATTATTATTATTATTATTATTATTATTGCCTTTCCACTGCCCTGAGGTTCCCCCTTCCTTTCACTCTCTCCTTCGCTTCCAGGCGGATGTTCCCCCCCTTTAAAGTGCGGGTGAGCGGCCTGGATAAGAAAGCCAAGTACATTTTGCTGATGGATATTGTGGCTGCGGACGACTGTCGCTACAAGTTCCACAACTCGCGCTGGATGGTGGCCGGGAAGGCCGACCCGGAGATGCCGAAGAGGATGTACATCCACCCGGACAGTCCGGCGACGGGCGAGCAGTGGATGGCCAAGCCGGTGGCGTTCCACAAGCTGAAGCTTACCAACAACATCTCGGACAAGCATGGCTTTGTAAGTGGCCGCCCCTTCCTTCCTTCCTTCCTTCCTTCCTTCCTTCCTTCCTTCCTTCCTTCCTTCCTTCTCTCCCCTTCCTTCCTCCTTTCCTTCTTGTTTTCTTCTTTTTATCTATTTATTTCCTTTTCTTTCTTTTTCGCTCCCTCTCTTTCTTACTTCTCTTTTTTCTCCCTTCCTCCTTCCCTTTTTCCTTTTTCTTGCTCTTTCCTTCTCTCTCTTTCCTTCTCTCTTTCCTTCCTTGCTTTCTTCCCCTTTGTTTTCTTTCTTTTCTTTTCTTTCTTTCTTTCTTTCTTTCTTTCTTTCTTTCTTTCTTTCTTTCTTTCTCTCTCTCTCTCTCT